CGTTCTTCTCACAACCCTGGTCGTAGTCGTGGTCGTGGTGGCCGTGGAAACTGTCTCTGTACTCATTGCAACCACACGAATCACACCATTGAGACTTGTTTCATGAAACATGGCTATCCCCCTGGATTCCAACAACGCAAGCCTACTACATCTGTGGGGAATTCTGTTGATTCTACAGTGAACTCGATTCAAGATGTTGCTTCTCCTCAACTTGAGGCATTATCTTCCTCTGCTTCCACATCCAACACCAGTCCAAGTGCTTTGTCTATGATTCAAGAGCAATACACTCAGATTCTGCAGCTCCTCCAACAGTCTAATTTTCAATCTCCTTCACCTCCCTCGATTAATTCAGTTTATACTGCTAATTCTATTTCCCATACCTCTCCTCATACTTCCTCTGGTAATAATTCCTCGAATCTTCCTTGTCATAACTGGTGGATCATTGACACAGGTGCCACTGATCACATCACCCATATCTTTGCCAGTTTCCTTTCCACATACCACATTGCACCTAAATCTATGACAATACCTAATGGTGACTCTGTCACTACAACTATTGCTGGTTCAGTTTTACTATGTGATTCACTTGTCCTTCACAATGTTTATTACTTCCCTTCATTTCATGTCAATATTATATCTGTCACCACTCTTTTTGACTCCAATTTATATGATGTGAAATTTTCCCCTAATTGCTGTCAAATTATGCAGTTGTCCCAATCCAAGATGATTGGATTTACAGCTAGGAGGATTGGCAAATTGTATGTTCTTGATGCCACCCCACCTAAGGCCATCTCTCCCACATCTAGCTCTGTCAACACCTCCTCTTCTCCCCAATTAGAACCTGCTAAACACGATCCTGCTACTATTTGGCATCTTAGGCTTGGACACTTAAGTCCTTACATACACAAATGTATTTCCTCTCAATTTCCTTTTGTCACCTACAATGACAATCATAAGCCCTGTAATACTTGCCATTTGGCTAAGCAAAAACATTTAACTTTTACTCACAGTAATACTAAGTCTGTTGCCATTTTCGATTTACTTCATGTTGATATTTGGGGCCCTCTTTCCACACCTTCCATATGTGGCCACAAGTATTTTTTAACCCTTGTAGACGATTACAGCAGGTTTACTTGGACAATTTTTATGGTCAACAAAAGTGAAACCAGAAACCATTTAATTCACTTCATATCCTTTATCGAAACTCAATTCAACAAGAAACTCAAGTGCATTCGTAGTGATAATGGTCTTGAGTTTCTCATGACCACTTTCTACCTTTCTAAAGGAATCATTCATCAAAGGTCTTGTGTGGAAACGCCTCAACAGAACAGAATCGTGGAAAGAAAACATCAGCATATTTTGAATGTTTCCCGTGCCCTCTCTTTCCACTCTCACCTCCCTCACAACCTTTGGCACCTTTCCATACAACAAGCCATTCATATTATAAACCGTCTTCCCACTCCTCTTTTAAACAACCACTCTCCCTACCAAAAACTCCATTCTACTCCTCCCAGCCTTAACCATATGAGAGTCTTTGGTTGTCTTGCCTATTCTTCGACCTTTCTTAACCATCGCACTAAATTCGAACCAAGAGCAAGGAAATCTATTTTTCTTGGCTACAGGGAAGGCACAAAAGGCTACCTTCTCTATGATCCTATCACACATGAATTTTACATTTTAAGGAATGTATTCTTTTATGAAACTGTGTTCCCTTTTGCATCCATCCCACCTGCACCTAATCCTACAATTCCTACTCCTGACCCTCCTTCCCTTGATTCACCTGATATTTTCACCAACAATCCACCCATCTCACCTCCACCATCAAATGAACCTTCCTCTCCCACCTCTCTCCCCCAGCCAGATTCTCCCACTAACCTCTCTTCTTCCTCAAATGACACTAACAACTCCCCTTGCCCATCCCCTCCTGTTCCAACCAGAAAATCCAATCGAAATATTAAACCTCCAGCTTATCTATCTGATTATCACTGCAATTTGCTATTCCCCATGCTGCCAGCATCTCACTCAGGTTCCTCTAACTACCCTCTCTCTTCTGTATTATCTTATAGCCAATGTAGTCCTGATCACAGATTATTTTGTCTATCCATAAGCTCTTTCACAGAACCAAAAACCTATAAACAAGTCTGCAAATTTGATTGTTAGAACAATGCTATGAAATCTGAGTTAGATGCTCTTGAATCTACAAATACTTGGTCTGTTGTTGATTTGCCTGCAGGAAAACAATCGATTGGTTGCAAATGGGTCTACAAAATCAAGCATCATGCTGATGGATCCATCGAACGATACAAGGCCTGTTTAGTAGCAAAAGGATATACTCAGCTGGAAGGTGTGGATTATTTCGACACTTTCTCACCTGTTGCGAAGCTTACTTCTATTCGAACCCTTCTCTCAGTGGCTGCCATTAAGAATTGGCACTTGGAACAACTCGACATCAACAATGCCTTCCTTCATGGTGATCTACATGAGGAAGTGTATATGGATCTGCCTCCTGGATTCCTACCCCCTGCTTCTTCGACCAACGAAGTCTGCACTTCTTCGACCAACAAAGTTTGCACTTCTTCTGCTCCTTCGACCAACGAAGTTTGCACTCCTTCGACCAACGAAGTTTGCACTTCTTCGACCAACGAAGTTTGCACTTCTTAGACCAACAAAGTTTGCAAATTGCATAAGTCTTTATATGGCCTGAAGCAGGCTAGCAGACAGTGGTTTTCGAAATTGTCCACTGCCCTTATCTCTCTTGGCTACTCATATTCTTCCGCTGATCATTCTTTTTTTACAAAATCACATGACTCTTCTTTTACTTCCCTATTAGTCTATGTTGATGATATTATCTTAGCCGGTAATGATTTGCAGGAAATCCAATATGTCAAATGCTTCCTTGACTCCACTTTCAAAATCAAGGACCTTGGTAGGCTTAAATATTTTCTTGGTCTAGAAGTTGCCAGATCAACTCACGACATTTTTCTCAATCAGAGAAAGTACGCTTTGGATTTGCTCGAAGACAATGGCTTATTGGCTACTAAACCTTGCTCTACTCCCTTCGATTCCTCCTTGAAGCTTCATGATGATAACTCACCACCTTTTGAAGACGTCACAGCTTATCGAAGGCTTGTTGGAAAACTTCTATATCTGACTACCACCAGACCTGACCTTGCATTCATCGTTCAACAGCTCAGCCAATTCATCTCACAACCTATGCAAGTTCATCATTCTGCAACAATTCGAGTACTCAAGTATCTCAAAGGTGCTCCTGCCAAGGGTTTGTTCTATTCATCTTCATCTTCACTCAAACTCTCTGGCTTCGCAGACTCAGATTGGGCAAGTTGCCCTGCTACCCACATATCCGTAACTGGATATTGTGTGTTCCTTGGCAATTCCCTCATATCCTGGAAATCCAAGAAGCAGTCTACAATATCCAAATCAAGTTCAGAAGCGGAATACAGGGCCTTGGAAAACTTGACTTGTGAATTGCAACGACTGCAGTATTTGTTCAAGGATCTCCACATCTCCTTTGATCAACCTAGCTCAGTCTATTGTGACAACAAAAGTGCTATCTACCTTGCTCACAACCCCACATTCCATGAACGGACAAAACATATCGAAATTGACTGCCACGTCATTCGTGAGAAAATTCAAACTGGTCTCATCCACCTTTTACCAGTTTCTTCTGCTGCTCAATTGGCAAATATTCTCACCAAGCCTTTGGCAGCTCCCTCTTTCGATTCTCTTATTTCCAAGCTTGGTCTATTAGACATCCATAGTCCAGCTTGTGGGGGACTATTACATAATGAAAATAATTCTGTTTAGTTTGTTGTAATTCTGTTTAGTTTGTTACTAAACAGTTAGTTTGTTATAATTCTGTTTAGTTTGTTACTTAAACAGTATATATAGCACTGTTTTGTATATTCCAAATAAGAATAATACAATGAGTTTATTCTAAAATTAACATCGAGAATCAAGATTATAATCAAATGAATCTCGAAGGTAATGAATTTAATTTCTACATTCATGCCCACTCTCTTCTCATTGAACCCACTTGTGAGTTCCAACTCCTTTTAACGTTGGGCTCATTCGCCCGCCCGAATCGGGAGATTGATTCATTATACAACAAATCACGTGTTTTTCCTAAAGAAAGATAACTATATCACCATCCAAAAATTAGACATAACTGTAATTTGGTTATTAGAAAATCAAATATGAAAAATTAGGAAGATGTCGTTCTTCACCACATGTTATATGAAGCTGGCATGTTCCCTTGAATTCCTTACTATATGCAAATCCAAAAATATTAATCTCCATGGCTCTAACTCCTTGATTTAGTGGAGTAAGAACATGTGTTCAATGGATATCCTTGACTAACTTGTTTAAAGCCTATCAATTAATGTGTATTACATATTCGAGCTTGCTATTAAGAAACCAAATGTGAGATTAGAAGAAGGTATGCTTCAGAGCCTACGCAATGGAGGGTTTTGCTCTAGTAAACTTTTGCAAAACCAAAGGATTATTAGAAGACTAACCAAATGCCAAGATGATGAAAGATTAACCTATAATATTAATCTCTTAGCGGTTAAACTATAAGATTAGGAAGAGTTGTTTATTTTCAAAACAGTCTAAACACTTGCTGAGTTCTCCATTGACTAGGAACTTATATGTCTTGCAATGTGTTTTTTGAATTTATTTAATCAAAATAAAAAGAAAACTAAATTACAAAGTTGGAAAATTAGGCAAGAAGGCATATAGAACACATCATCTGAAGGAGGAATAAAAGAAACTGCAATTGGATTTAAGCATAAGCGAAATGTTGAAAATTGAGAAATCACAATACACAGTAAAGTGTATCATACGTTACTACTTCAATGCAAGTAACAATCAATCCCAGTCATTGTATATTAGTATTATCTTCTAAAAGGTATTAAAAGATGACATGAAAAACCATTGCTGACTCTATATACAATCTGTTCAGCACAATTAGACACTTAATTTCAAGTGTCCCCAACAGAACGAGATTTCATGTCCTGGCAAGTGTCCCCAACAGAAGGAGACTTCAAGTCCTGATCATTCGAAGCACTAGTTGTTGCTGATGTCGCATTTATTATGTTTCCATCTCCCACTGTTGGAGTTGTTTGTAAAAAACCTGATGTACAACCTTCTTCTTTGGCTGGATCCGAGTTTTCTTTAATCATCTGTTGAACCAAAACATATAGATTGAAATTTATGTAGATTCTACCATTTTGAATATAAGTCTCGCGTGAATCTCCATCGATAATAAAGAAAATATGATTTGCTTACTTGAAGAGGGATGGCTGCTATAGGAGTTACTTCATTATTTTGAGGAGCAGCAGCAAACTCCACCATTCTTGCACCTGTTCTCTTAGTGGTTTCTACCATGGATATGGCCGCGATAATCTAATGAACCAAAAAGATAAATTGTTAATTTAAACAAATGAGTGTGGCCATTTTGATTTAAATTTATGATATGCTTACGTCAACACGGCCAGCCGCTATGAGGGAATTGACACAAGTATTTGCAAACAGATTTCCCTGATCATCTGTGCATGTAACGGTGCACATTGCCTTTTCACGACAGTGACGACCATTATCACCAACCAGAGATCTTATAGACAGAAAAAGAATCTGAAATGCTCCCTACATGCATATAGGAAATTGGAATAAACGACAGTTCGCAAAATTTACCAAAAATTTTATGATGCAAAATTTAACCTTGCGGTGCCTGGGACCATTCGGAGTAAGAGCGGTAATTTCTGATACAGAACCGGACGCAGAAAATACGGTAACAATTTTAGGATAATTTGCCACGGATATATTGTATAGAACTTCTACCACATCCTGCAAACCATATGTTTAATCAATGTAATACAAAATTGCATCTGAAATGTGAAGATTGGTCAGTTCATGTTATACCTGGCCGTCTCTCAACACAATCACATGAGGGCTGAATTTTTCATCACTGATACCAGAACTTGTTTCTGATGGTTCTTCTTTTCTCTTCTTTGATCCGGAACCGGAACCTGGAGGGCGTCCTCTTCTCCTCTTGGTTGGAGTGTCTGCAGAAGATGTTAGAGAAGGTCCCTCCTTTCTCTTCTTTGGTGTTACGTCGGGAGAAGATTCCAATGGCAATTGCAATGGAAATGCTGATGAATTATTCATTGCTGAAGGTCCCTCCTTGCTCTTCTTTGGTGTTATGTTGGGTGAAGAATCCAATGGTGTTTTCGGAAGTACATCATCATCATCATCATCATAATCATCATCTTCTTCTTTCTGATGATCGGTAGCGGAAGTACCGATCATGTTTGCTGCTGCCGCGTTCTTATCATCCTCTTCCATTGTTGTGCCACAAGAATAACAAATTTTGAAACTATGGAATGTGAACAAGAAAGAGAGAGAGAGAGAGAGATATGAATTTGTAGTATAAAGATTATATATTTATAGTATGAATGGAGATCTTCAACTAACTAAGAAGGAAATGTAACTAACTGATTATAACTGCTTCTAACTAATCAACTGCCATAACAGAAAACTAATAAGATAATGTAACTAACTGTTTATAACTGTTTATAACTAATCAACTGTCATAACAGAAAACTAAGAAGATAATGTAACTAACTGTTTATAACTGCTTCTAATTAACCAACTGTCATAACAGAAAACTAACAAGGTAATGTAACTAATTTGTTGGATTTGTTAGACGTGGATAAAGTTGCTCTCTTGTAGGATTTGTTTATATCATCTTGAATCAATGCTTCTTCCTGTGCAAACCCAATTTGAGAGAAGTTTTGGGTTTTGCTTAAGCATTACAAATCAAATATAAAACCATCACCACAGATTTCAAATCATCACTTCCCAAGCATTTTTATAGTAATTTCTTAAATTTTGCATGAAATAGTTGTAAAGGGAAAACAAGTAAATATAAGAGAAAAAGGAATATGCACTCTCAACTGATATGACATGATAATGATAAGGATTTTGATTGATCGTAGGTGTAAAATTTATTTATAACTATGCGTTACTTTAAGGTATATTCTTAAGTATCCATGATAAGTAATTGGGTATTACTATCTTAAGTGCAAACTGCTTTATAATTTGAATTTATTTTAAAATAAAGTAATTATAAAAAGTGACATTTAATTGGACAAGGATATTGGTACCAACAAAATTCAAGGATACCATGGTGTTCACCTTATTTTAAATTTTAAATATAATAGTTGTAAAGGGAAAAGAAATAAATATATAAAACTGATATAAAGGAGGGTTAGAAATTTTATATTATTTAAAAAAAATAAAAAAAATAGAGTTTAAAATTTTTATAAATAGATGAGAAATTATATATCTAATATTTTAAGGTTTTTGATTAATATATAGTTCATAGTTCAAATGATTGATTCGGAATTTAACTCTTTATACCTATAAATCAACCATTTAAAAAAAAAGTGTATGCTTACTTCATAACTTATCATATATGATACAATTTCATTTTTAGAAAATGTTGAAGTGGATCTTCCGCATATTTGAAGATGATAGTGTCAAATTGAACATCATAACACTCACATACATATCACGAATTTAATGTTATAAATAATCTCACTCAATATATTATATTATTTTATACTTCTCAATTACTTATACATTTCAATTAGATTATATATATATATATATATATATATATATATATATATATATATATATATATATATATATATATATATATATATATATCCAAATTTTTAAATTGGGTCTTAAGTAATCTACCGATATACGCCAACTTTATTTTTACATTAATAAATAAAATATATAATTGAAACAAGTTAATTCAATAACAATATGTATTTTAAATATATCAAAATTCAAAAAGTAAATTAAAATATATTAAATAATACACTACATGACCAAAAAATTTATAAAAAAAAATCATTATCAATAAAATAAATTACTAGCAGAAAATATAATAAATGTTTCAAGTAATTTTTATTTGTTGTTATTCTTGAGAATCTATATATTTGCAGGTAAAACAAACTGCTGTTAATATTTTGATTATATTTTAATCATGGTGGTTTTGATGATGACTAGGATGTTTGGTGGAACCATATTGCTTATCCTTTGTTTGATTATGTTGGTCCCTAGTGATTTCTTTCCACTTGTCTATGATGATGATAATCATCAGAAAGTTATCTTATGCTTCATCAAGGAGATAATTCAAGGTTCCAGTGAAGTGCTAAAGTCAAAGATAATATAGCAAGGAACCTAAATCTGTAGAATTGTGAAAGAGTGTAAGTGTTAAAACTCGCCTTGTCCGTGTCGAGTGAGATGTGTCTATAAAAGTATAAGAATAACTCTTGAACTTACTAAGGCAAAGTATACACACATTTTTGAATGATCAGAAGGCCTATCTGATTTTATTAAAACAACAAAATAAATACTTGTGTTCCTAGTTATTAGATTAGAGACTCATTCTAATCAATTAAAATAAGTTCACATGGATATTTGATTTGTCCATTAAGGTTAATCAATTATCACTATTGTAACCCTAATAATATATTATTATGTCTCTTAATCCATTAGTGGCGACGCCTTTTGAAAAGTCTTCCTTTTTGTATCACATAATCAATTATCTGATATGCATAATTGATTATTGACATTAAAAGATCAAGGGATTCTTTTCATACTTTAGTCATATTATGTCTTATAAATAGAGTTTTTCATCATTTCAAAACACACCAGAAAACGTATTCCAAATATCATCTCTCTCTCTCTCTCTCTCTCTCTCTCTCTCTCTCTCTCTCTCTCTCTCTCTCTCTCTCTCTCTCTCTCTCTCTCTCTCTCTCTCTCTCTCTCTCTTAGTGCTTTTGAGAATGAATCTTTTATCTATGAGGAGTTTGGTTATGGTGAAAGAGTATTATTGTAATATCTCATTGTGAGAAGTATTTTCTTGTTTGGTTGTCGAGTTCAACCTAGGACAATCTCCATTTGGTATGGAGGTCTCCATATTTATAACTCATGTTTGGTTCATGATCTTAGCTTGATGTTAAAAGCTCTCGTTTGGTTTGAAAGCGTCTTTATTGTAAAATCTCGTGGTTTGAAGGTCTCTGTAGTCAAAACTCTCGTCTTTGGTTGGGAGGAAAACCATTGTAAAACTCGTGTCCTTTTGTAAGGAGGTTCATAGGAAAAACTTGTTAAAATCTCACATCATATTGAAAACTCTCAAGGAGAATATTTTTGGGAAAGGAGTAGGCCAAATCATTTGGTTGAAACTCTATAAGTCTCGGGTGCACCTTTCTATTTCCTTATCTATCTACTAATTAATATAAAACATATTTAACCTCGATTGTATATGAGGTGTTACCTCGCTTCATATACGAGGTAACAAAGGGCGTCATTAAAAGTGTGCAACTTTACGTCTCCGTTGAAATTCCATCGATGGGAAAGATATAATGGTCATGGGTTTAATCCTCAATGATAACTTTTTAGAATTTTTAAATGGCGAAAAACAACTTTCCCCTCGGTTTTGTTATTTAACCAAGAGAAAATATACAGTTGATTTTATTATATCTGATGTGAATTGCTTATTTCACCAAACCCTAACTGAGCATATAACCTTTGTGTAATACTGCGGAAGAACTAACTTGGGATGTTTTACGTTTTATCATAATTGTTGCGGTTAGCAAGAGTCGCCACCGACTTTTATTTTATCCAAAAGGAAAGGTTGAAAAGAACAGGAAAGACCTTTGAGATTATTTCTTGAGTTCAAGGGGTAGATTATGAAAAGGGAAGGTGTTAGCACCCTTTTCATCCATAGTTATCTATGGACTCTTAGTTGCTTGCTAGATCACTTGCTTTTTTTTTGAAAATGTGCTTTGTGGTGGTTTTGAAAGTATTTTTGAAAAGACGCCTTCGTTTAGGCAAACTTTGTAATGGTTCTCGTTCGTAAGAACATATACAAAGTGTTGGACTTTTTGAAAATATTTCATGTTTTGAAAGTGTTTGTTTATTTTGAAAGTGTTTGTTTATTTTGAAAGTATGTTTGTTTTGAAAGTGTTTGTTTTGAAAGTGAGCAAGGACATTTGTTTTGAAAGTGAGCAAGCAACTAAGAACGTTTCTACCTACTCAAAAGTCTTTTATTCATTACCTCCTTTCCTTTGATATTGCTATCTCACCATTGATTGGTAAGAAACCTTATCTTTGAATGTAAAGGGACGGGCGTGGATCATCGTATAGTCATGATAGCAATGTTGTGAGATATCTTAGCATTTCTCTTTGAGGAACTAAGATCATTTGAAAGATAACATTCGTAGCGTCATCGAGGGACTATGATCTTGTATTTTTTATTGTTTTTGCTAAGACATCCCACATACGTAACATGATCATTTTTGTAAGGTAACAAGTGAAATTACCCTAAGAGTGCATGTGTGAATAGTGTGTTTGATTTTCATGCATTTAATCTTTAATTAGGGTTGTCTACTTGTTGATTTTATCTTTCCATACAAATCCTAATTACTAGCATTTATATGAAAGCGATAAATTGCGGAAAATAAAATTACTACGCTATTACATCATTAGGGGGATGGGGTATATAAATTTACAAACGGGGATTGCAAGAAATTAAACCTAATTATCTATTACAACCATATTGAATAATGTACAAGAATTGAAAAGAATATAATGCGCAAAGATGTAAATGGAAAGAAAATGATTTTTGTTTGGTTTTTGAGGAAAAGATTTTAACCTAATTATCTAAAAGAAAATTATTTATTAAGATAAATAAAATTAAACCTAAACTAATTAAGAAAAGAAAATAAGTTAGAAAGCATTTTTAGATTTTTTTAGAAAAGGATTTAAGTTTAACCAAAATTATATGGACATAATTAATTAAAAGAAAACCTAAATTCTAAGTTAAGTTTAAATAAAAAGAAAATAACTAAACCTAAATCTAATTATTAATTTATTAAGAAAAATAATTAAATTTGTTTAAGAAAATATTTTTGTCTTTTTGTTTTACAAATAAAATAAGAATATAAATATGTAAATAATAAATAAAAGTATATTTTTGGATTTTTTATTATTATTAATAATAATAATAATAATAATAATAATAATAATAATAATAATAATAAAGAAAAATAAAATAAAATAAGATATAAAAATAAAAGTCAGGGGGATTTGAAATGAGATTTGGGAGTTTGTTAGCAAAACCATTTTGTTTTGTTAGGCCTGGCCTAAATGATGTTTTTTGATCAGAAAAATAAATAAAATAAAAAAGTTGGGCATGTGTTGTGTAGTGAAGTAGGGGTGTGTCTCACTAAAATACAAGGTCCAATGGCCTTAGGCCCAAG